TGTCTGTGCTACTGGTGTTATGTTCAGGAAGCTGTCTCCTGTACCAATTCTTTCAAGGGTACCACCCACTTTCTCTTCTAAGAGGTTCAGTGTGGCTGGATTTATGTTGAGGTCTTTGATCCATTTGGACTTAAGTTTTGTGCATGGCGATAAACATGGATCGATCCGCATTTTTCTACATGCCAGTCTCCAATTATGCCAGCACCATTTGTTGAAGATGCTTTCTTTATTCCATTGTATATTTTTAGCTTCTTTGTCAAAGATCAGATGTTCGTACGTGTGTGGGTTAATACCCGGATTTTCAATTCGATTCCATTGGTCTGCCTGTCTATTTTTGTGCCAATACCAAACTGTTTTCAGGACTATAGCTCTATAATAGAGTTTGAGGTCAGGGATAGTGATGCCTCCGGACGTTGCCTTGTTGAACAGGGTTGTTTTGGCTATCCTGGGTCTTTTGTTTTTCCATACAAAATTGATTATTGTTCTTTCAAGGTCTGTGAAGAATTGTGCTGGGATTTTAATGGGGATAGCATTGAAACTATTTTTATTATTTTTGATAACTTTATACATATGCTTTGATCATGTTCGTCCTCACTTCTGCACGTAACTCCCCTCAGATCCGTCCTAAACTTATCTTTCTTTTCTTTTTTACATTACCAACCAACTTGAGTTTATGCTACCCATATATTCATAGGCACAGGACTGTCCCCTTGACTGTACCTGATCTACCCAGCGCTGCAGACTTAAAGAAAACTCACTGTCCCTTCCTTAGAAGCCACCAACTGTTCACAGCTCCTCAGTAGTGAGCACTCATCAGCCCCTTTCCCACTCTGTGCTAGAATGTTGATGACGGTCTCAGCTGAGCTCAGTGGTCCAGTGAGATAATCGGAACTACCTACAGGAGCATGGATGAAAGGTATCACTGATGAGCATGGGCAATCAAAGGGCAGTTGTATCAGCCAACAGCCTATGCTCACACGCATTACCTCACAAAAGCTGTGGTCCACCCTGCATGATAATAATGAAATGAAAGTCTAGATTACAAAGCAAGCAGGAAAGGTGGTAATGGAAGATATGGGTGTTAGTTTCCTGCCACCAGAACAAACACCTGAGACAATTAACTTATCTAGAATAAAGGTTTGTTTTGGCTGGAAGTCTTGAACGTTTCAGTCTGTAATGCTTGGCCCTGATGTTTGGCAATAGAAATCACGGTCACAGGATACTCCAGTGACCAAGGAACCCCCTCCTCTAGGCCTACCCTGCAGATGGTTCCGCTTCCTTCATGCAGACTGGGCCTTTAGCACAGGGATCTTGGAACACACTCAAAATTCAAGCTAAAGCAGAACACACTCGAATGCACTGAAAGGAAAATGCTTGACATATCAGGGTAGGGGTCGTTTGAAAGAGGAACCAGGAGAACAGACCTTACCAAGTGCTTTAGTGGTTCCTTCTCCCTCTCCTGGGAGCCGGAAGAAAGATCCGGTGTGAGGACCACATGGTAGCAGTTATGGCCTCTGTTCCTTTATTGTCTGATGCGGATTTACTAAGATTTTCTATACTCACCCTCAAATTGGGATGAATTAAATGACTAAAGCAAGAAGAAAATATAACAGAAAAATGCATCTATAATGCCATTTCATATGGAATCACTGTCTTCTGCTCCATAGAGAAAGACTCTGCGGTTGGCCTCCACCCCATTACAGTGAGTTAGTACTACAGGTCAAAGTGGTTCTCATAGACTATCGTCACTGGGCTGGGGAGAGAGCTTGGTTGGTGAGGTGCCTGCTGCACAAACATGACAGCTTATGTTCAGTCCCCAGCACACACAGAAAGAGCCAGGGGCAGTGCAGCACATCTGTAATCTGACACTGGGGCATCCCGCGTGTTCATTTGACCAGCCAGACCAGGTCCTACCTCAAGAAACAAGACGGAGAGCTATCAAGGGAGACGGCTGATGTCTCTCTTTTCCCTACATGCTCGTGTGCACTCAAACACATAGAAAAGTGTATAAAACACACACTCAACACAGATTATCACAAATGCCCGATTTTAGTCCTAAAATTACCCAGAAGCCTTTAAAACATTCTGTTCCGAGATCTGTGTGTACTGTTTTGAATTTATTCACCCAATTCTTTCTTGTTACCTGGCTGTCTTTTCTATAGCCACAGGTTTTGAACTAACAAATTTATCCTTTTAAAATGTGATCACTGACTAACCTTAATTATTCCACCAGTTGAACTGCGTGACTCTTAACCAAGTTTTGGAAAAGTAGGTTATACTATAGTAAGATCTGAAGGGGTTGGGGGTGGGGTAGGAATAAAAAAAACCATGGGCTATTGTTAGTTCTGCCAAAGAAGCGTTTTCTCTTCCTTGGTTTAAGAAGGTAAGACATCCAGGAGTGCTTTCTGAAGGATTTTTTAACTGTTGCATTCTTTGAAAATTTTTGAATATTTATCTATTTTCTGTGTCGGAGTATTTTGTGTGTATGTGCATCTGTGGACCATAGGCCTCTGAACCTAAGGTGGTCAAAGAGACCTCCTGATCCCTGGAACTGGAGTTACTGATGGCTGTCAACCATCATGAGGGTGCTGGTGACCAAACCTGGGTCCTCTGTAAGAGCAACAGGAGCTCTTAACCCCTGAGCCAGCTCTCCCACCCTGGCAGGAGGGGCTCCTCAATTGTGAGTTGGAGCATTTTAGTCTGAACTGAGAATAGCCTTCCACCCAGAGCCAATGTCCACTGCATTTCTTTTGTGACTTGTAGATGAAAGACAGTGTTTAAATGCCAAATGGCTACGGAAGCTCGCATGTTGATTTAAACTCCTAAAAAGTTTTCCTTTCCTTTCCTTTTTTTTAAGTGGAAGTGAGCCCTCTTTCCATTCTATGCTGCATGGAAAATATTACACCATCCTTCAACAAACCTGGGAGGAGATGAGTATTGCAGAGTTTTATTTATTTTTTTATTTTTCGTGAGTTCTTACCTTTCACATCTTATTCCTGTGCATCAGATTAAAGAGCCCCCCACTAGCCTTGGCTTGAAGCTGTGAAAATATCCATTATATGTCATTGTGTAGCTTTAGTTCATCTTGACTGATGCCCTTGACTTCAGAATATAAATAGAAAAATAGAGACAGGTGACAAGGATTGATTAGCAATCTTTCTTCTAACAGAAACAATAAAGCCACTAGATAAATCACTGGCTCAAAATCTTAAACATACACGAGGAAAGAAAAAGTGTGTGTGTGTGTGTGTTTATAAGTATGTATGTGTATAATAGTGATTGCATTTTTTAAAAGGACTCTATCTGGTCTATCTTTACTGCCAATGAATTTTTATGGAAAAATACGCTTCCAGATTCTAATGAACTGAAAATGCTTTCTTGCCATCTCTTCCAGGGAATTTTTCAGGCAAAAAAGAAATAAGCCAATGTCATTGCCAATGGATAAACAATATGCATATCATAATTACTACTGCAGCGTTTACCTTTTCCCTGCCTTTCTGGTCCCAGAAACCACTCAGGGTGGGGCTTTTAGTATAAATCGAGGCCACAGAGGAAGGAGAGCAGCAGCATCGGTCACTGGGAACAGGAAGCCGTGACTGAGAACGGGCCGAGGAACAAGCAGTCCCGTAAGCAGCAAGGGGTCATGGCAGGAGAAAGCGGAGGGGAGTTGCTGGGATGCTGACAACTTTGGCAGCTGCTGTTTGTGTGCGGCCAGTTCTTGTGTTGTATATCGACAGCCGTTGACCAAAATGATGGAATTGTGTATAGCCAGGGAGTGCTGGGGTCTCATCAAAGAATGGAGTAACTGAATTGGCTTAGCTCGATGGAGAATGAGATCATAGTTGACATAACACTGGACAAACAGGAGTTGGAAGATGCATTTGAAGTTGAGTTTATCCTCTTCTCAGCCCTCACTGCCTGTCCAAACCACTCTGCAGGTGAGGCTTCTGTTCCCAGATAGAGTCCTAGACACATTTGGTGGTTTCTCAGGCTCCTCTGTGAATTCAAACAAAATAAAACGCCCCTGAAATTTTCAATAGCTTATAACTACTACACACGTGGCATTGGTTTGTTGGTTGTTATGTCTGACTAGTCTATTGTAATACGTATTTCATTCCTTCCGAGGTGAAGTGTCTCTCACTTGCAGCTTCTGCTTCCTACAGATATGAATCCACCAGTGTAGCAAGAGCTGTGGTGAGCATTGTCCCCTCCACAAGGCTGTCTTCTTCCACACTCTCATAGTTCCTCTGACTTCTTCATAGTGTATGAATGAGCAGAGAGCAGAGAAGGCAGGAGGACCTTCCAGGATGGACATCGATTTGCTCTCAGGGATAGTGAACCCGACTCTTTCTTTGTGGGCACTACCATAGGGTCTTTGGGGAGACTCTCCATCCCCTTTTCATTGTGTTTCTTTCACGTGTTGGCTCCAATGGGAAGGACGAGGATGATTCTCCTCTTGGTGGAATCGTGGTGGTGCGCTGACGTCCGTAGCACTTGCTTTGGCTTGAGATGCAGGGCACACTGACTTTGCAGATAAGGGATACCCAGGGGAAATGCTCTTCATGTGCAGATAAGGGATGCCCAGAGGAAAGTGATAGCAAGGGATGCGTATGAGGGCGCAACTGTTGTGTGGACTGTGACTGAAGTCTTGCAAGTGACACAGTTGCCTGGGAAGCCATGTGGCGGGCCTCCTAGAGAGACATAATGACATTGTTAAGAGGCAGCAGAGGAAAAAAATGCTGGCTCACTGACATATCACCGTTTGCTAGGGAGTCCTCCAGAACTGCGTCCAATGGCATGTGTATTTATTGTGTATATTACTTGCACAGAATCTGGAAGTTTGAATACATCTACCTGTTTATTCTTTACTCCAGATGTGAAGCTTTATACAGTTACCCTAATTGAGTGTGGGCCCTATACTCGTTCATGTGTGTAAAATTGCTGTTAATTTCATTCTGGACCTTTCAGTTGTCTGACAAATTTAACTCTTTCTCTTCCAGTTGTGTATGAACACAGGTCAAGATTAGAGAAGTCTTTGCAAAAAGAAAGGCTTGAACACAAGAAAGCAAAGGAAGGTAAGACAATGTTAGCTTGTGCCCTCTGGCTTTCCCCACCCTTATTTGATGCAACATGGACATGACCTATGATGCTTTTTGGTTTTGTTCTTTTTCTTCTAAGTTGTTTTTCAATCAACCTGAAGCCAACGCCGTAGGTTGGTAGAAAAAAAGCTGTTAATCAATGTGTTAGGCATGGTGCAGATATTTTACATAGGCTCAGTGACGGGGAAGTAGCCCTTTCGTCTCCTTTGGGAGTTCAAGTCAGATAGTAAGTGGAAGATGTGTGAGCTTTATCATCTCAAAGATCTTTACTTCCTTCAGTCCCATAGGGAACCCTCTGCATTAGAGGCTCAAGAGGGGATTTAGGAGCTTTCATTCTGTTTCTGCAGCCTTCATGAAGGTCATACATTGGCATACAACTTCCCTTCTATATGACATTGGTATATTTCTAACGCATCAAACCTCTGCCCACAGTTGGGGTTTGAGAAAACATGTGTTGTTCAGAACATAACATTTTTCATACACTCCATCTTACATCTGTAACATAGTGAGTTGACCCACTACCTGGACTCTTTTGAATGAAGCAGATATTATTATTTCATGAAAAATTTTACTGACATAGTTGTTCAGTCAGAAATTAAGTAACACTGGCATTGCTGTTGAATTTTATCATACCTTTTAAAAGAAAGCATACAGTCCAGTATCTAGCTCCTGAAAGTTGTCTGCATTCTTATTTTTTACTTATTCATTTATTCACGTTTTGTGACCAATCTGGAAATTTAAGCTCTTGGCTCTCTTTGTGGAATAGAAGGACAGGGGCAGTGGTGGGTCCTGGATACCCTGCAACACTCTCCTGACTCTTGGGTTGAACAGAATTCTGAGAAATGCTTTGAGACTTATCTTTGCCCTGTCTTCCACTGCAGAGTGATTTTATAGAGCCATCTAGTGGATAATAAAGTTTTCAGAGCATTGAAGATGGCTAAGATGGCTTGATTGTCTGTCTTTTCAATTCCTGATGGAATGTAGTGTGCCCTCTAGTGGGTAACGATAAATCACCGTTGTCTCCAAATGCAGCTCCCGCCTTAGTTTCAAAGGCTGTTTTTCACAGAGATACTGTAATGTGCTCTCCGGCACTTGATTAAAACATGAACTCTGGTGATGCCGGTTTCGCAGATAGAAGGCAAAGTGGAAGACGGCATGCTTTGTCATCTGTTTGCCAAAAGCTTTGAGGGGGAAAGCGAAATACATACATTGATTTCAACTGAAAACATTTGTGCAAGTCTGAGTAAAGCATAACTTTTTTCCTGAGATGTTTAAAGATTTTAAAATGAATTAACTTACTACTTTTTCTGCATTTTCATCCTTTCTAGATTTCCTTGTTTACAAGTTAGAAGCACAAGAAACGCTAAACAAAGGAAGGGTAAGGCTTTGCTCTGTTTGGGCTTTCCGTTTCTTTTCATGAACCTTGAGAGAGACAAAAATATTAGTGAAAAATGTTATTCTGTCGATCACTAGCATTGTAGGTTGGACATACGTTTTTGTTAAAAAAAACAAGAGGAAAACTTTAAGCATTGTTCATTTTAGACTTACTTCTTCTTGCATCTTGACACACTGATGGTGATTAGTGAGAAACTGAGGTGACCTCACTGTGTCATATGAAGTAAAGGCCTTGTTTGGTTGCTTGGTTTGCTTCTGGAGTTTGGAGACAGGTTTTCTTATCCCCAAGAGGCCTCAGAATCACTGTGTAACTGAGTGTGGCTTTGAACTCCTGAGCCTCTACTTCTTTGGTGCTGGGATCACAGGAATGTGCTACTGTGGCCAGCAGGGAGGGTCATTTCTATGACATGCAAAGACTTCCATTTGCCTTTACAAAATACTATCAAACAGGAGACCTGCCTTAGAGTTGACGTTTGCCAGTATCTGAAGAATGAATTATGGACACAGCAAATGACGTTGGCATTTAAAAATATTTTAATGTTAAAATTCACTGGAGAGAAGCCAGTTTTTCTCTTATACTAGAAAAAAATGTATGCGTGTTAGCTGAATAAAACATTAGTGTTTAGGGATTTCAAAACTGAGAAAGTCAGTCCTGGGAGAGGCTTTCAGCTTTCAACCCTTATTTAGAAGCCCCAACCAAACCTGTGTGCAAACGACTGTATATTTTGTAATGCAATTTCCTTACAAACAAGAAAGAAAGAAAGAAAGAAAGAAAGAAAGAAAGAAAGAAAGAAAGAAAGAAAGAAAGAAAAGGTCAGCGGATGAGATGATAGAGCAAAACTGTAGCTTATTTTAGGAGCTGTGAAAAGAAAACACAGGTGTGCACCTGTGTGGTGACAGAGCACCGCAGGGTTGTGCTGTACAGAGATGAATGAGCCTAGGGGATGAAGGCAGACAGGACACTCCAGGTGTCTTCAGTGTGCTGACGGTTGGAGCTGGGAGGCCTGTGTGGACATCTGCTCCCTTAGACTGAGGGATGATCCTGAACATGGACGCTCAAGCTCCATTCCTGTGCGGCTGTGCACAGGACTCACTCCGGCTCCAGTCTCTCGCCCTGATGGTGAAATGAAGATTATGTGAATGCACACTGAAGTTGAGGGAAGAACCGTCTTTGTCCTCCTAAGGCATGCTGAGTTTGCGAGGCCTGCTGTCAATTGGTGTACGCCCCACCGTCCTGCCTTCCCGGGTGCTAAACTCTGTGTTAGCCGGACACAGTGACTTTCAGAAGTTCAGTGTGTGTGGGCCTCCAGGCTTGTTTAGATTATGAGAAAGAGAGCCAAACTTTTTCTGAGTCCTATCAACTCATCGTGTTAGGAATCCCTTCTTGTCTGTCTTTGCATTAGTAAAATCTAACAAACCCAGGAGAAAATTGAATCCTCGTTTCTGCTGTTAAATAAAGAAATAGGAGTTCTTAGGGGGTGACCCAGTGGTAAAGTGATTGTCTAGTATGTGCGAGGCCCTGAGTACAATCTCGATACAATGTTAAATAAAAAATAAATACATAAATAAATAAAGGAGATGGCTCTAAAGATATACTGTCTCTGTCAAGGAACTTATGTTACCTTACAAAGCAAAACTGAAAATCTTTGATTAAGCAAGTGAAGCTGTCTTCGACAAAAGACCCAGATGAGCTATCTTTTGTTGATTTGATTTTCTTTTATTTACAGCAAGATTCCAATAGCAGATACAGTGCATTGAATGTCCAGCATCAGATGCTGAAAGTAAGTAACCTAAACTGTCCTATATGAACAAAGAAAGGAGAAGGAACTATTTGAACTAATTAACCATCTTTAATGTAACAAAAGCGAAGGAAGTTGACTTCATATAGTCATAGTTGGTTAAAAATTGTCTCTAGTTTTAGGGCCTCAAGATGATTTTTACCTTTATGCAAAAAAGAGGCTACTGTATTGCCCATTTTCTTATGTAATAATTGGGCTCTCTGGTTACCTACTTTTTAAATGTTGTTCTCTTTGGTATCTTTCGAGTTCTTTGTTTGCTTGGTCTCTCATGGTGGTTTTTCTCTTATCTTATAAGACTGGAGTGTGTACAACTCCAGAGCTTCCTCTGTTTTGCTGACGTTTAGGAGATGTAGTTTTGTCTACTACAAGAACACACTTTATTAATTAAGTATCTTCCTTCCTGGGGCCTTAGACCTTTTCTTGCCATTATTTCTTTGGCATTGCTGTCACTAGTATTTATAGTGAACTAGGTAGCACAAGCCATCTTGAAATGATTGAAAGCATGGTGGTGGATATGTACAAATACTATGCCATTCAGAGTCTTAAGCAGATTTGGGTAGCTTAGCTTCAAGTTGCCCTGAATCCTCCCATGAATACTATGGAGCCTTGATCTTGCTTGTTCAATAGAAAACATACTCAAAGTGGCTAGGGTTAAGTTTCCTGTTACCTTTACCTTGTTTCTACCGTAATTTAAATCCAGGGAATACCCTCACGTCTCCTCCCGCTCCCACACATACCCCTTCCCACCTCTTATGCTTCTTACTCTTATTGACGCTCAAAATGACGGGGAGATTCGTGTTTTCCCGTGGTCTCCCTGAAATGTGAAGGAAGTGAAAGGAACAAGCAGGACCCAGCCTTAGCTGCGCTCACTCCTTCATTGATTCTCTGCTGAGAGACAGAGCGGCCGTGCAGCCAAGGAGCAGACTCTGTGTGCCCTAGAGAGCATGCCCTTACTCAAGTGTTCACCTTGCAGAGTCAGCATGAGGAGCTGAAGAAACAGCACAGTGACTTGGAAGAGGAGCATCGCAAGCAAGGGGAAGACTTCAGCAGAACATTCAATGACCACAAACAGAGATACCTACAGCTCCAGCAAGAAAAGGAACAAGAACTGTCTAAGCTGAAAGGTATTTGATAGAGCCCACGCCGAAGCTGGGCCGCCTTAAGGTCCCTGCATTCTGTAGTACAGTTAACTTTAGTAGTCAGCCTCTCCTATTCATAATCCATTGGTTTTGTTTTATTGCTTTAGTTTTTGTTTTATTTATACGGGGTTTTCCTGCATGTCTGTATGTACACCATGGTGTGCCTCATGTCTCTGGAGGCCCTTAGGGGGCATTAGATCCCTCAGAAGTGGAGTTACAGATGTGCTTAGAATTGAACCAGGATCCTCTGGAAGAGCAGTAAGTGTCCTCAAACTCTGAAGCATCTCTCCATCCTCTTTCTCACTGTTTCTGAAGCAAGATTCATATATAGTAAAATTTTAGTAGCCCATATAGAAGAAATCAGAGCTACAGAAGATAGGAAAACACGTACATGTGATTCTGATTTCTAAGGTATATCAGCCTCAGAACTTTGCACCCAGGACAAAAGTGGAAAGGCAGGAAGCCTTAGGGAGCTTGTCACACACAGGCACACACATACGTGCACTCCAGTTAGGAGAGCTAGAAATCGAAACACCACACTTATAGAATCAACTTTTGGAAGAAGTTTCTCAAAAGGATCTGAAAGAAAGTATAGAAACAACCCTTGACACTGTGATGGACACTTTTCTCTGTACCCATGTCTGATTGGGATAACTGCGTTACCGCAATGACTGCTGTTAATTGTCCCCTGGAAACGAGCTGAAATCACCTAAGAAGAATAGGTTGCACGTGAGTGTGCCTGTGATGTTTTTTCTTACTTGGGTTAGCTGAGAGGGGATGGCTCAACCTGAGTGTGGACAGCATCATTTCATGGGTTAAGTCCTGGACTGAATGAAAATGATCAAGGGAGCTGAGTATAGTTCTCCCTCCCTCTCTACTTCCTCTCTACTTGACTATGGATACAATGTGACCGGATATCCCAAGTTCCTGCCTCTGAATTCCCTCAGGGGTGGGCCATAGCCTGGCTCTATGAAGTAAAGGAAACCTTTTCTCCCCCTGCTTTATTCAAGGTATTTTGTTTGTTTGATTGAGGATTTTTGTTTTATTTAGAAACAATCTTATTTTACACACCAATCCCAGTTCCCTCTCTCTCCCATCCTCTCATGCCCCCCATCCACTCCCAGCGAGGGTGAGACCTTCCGTGGTTAGTGAGGGTATTTTATTGCAGCAGCAGAAGTGGAAATAAGATGTGGCTCTGGGCAAAAGGCTTAGGCAATAAAGGTAAAGCATTCTGTGATCAATGAAGGGCAGTGGTGGCTAGGGGCCGTAAGTGCTGGCAATTTTGGGTAGCTTAATGTGGCACAAGGAGAGTGTCTACACCTCCCCCTTTCTCTCTGACAGCATGGAAATGTAGATAATTGCTCTTGATGGTTGTGAATATAATAGCTGACAACACACCTCTGCAATGTATTAGGACCGGTGAAATCCTTCAGTGGATGGTTTTACTGAATTCTCGTCAGGAACCTGGAGGCAGGCAGCCAGGTGCCTTGTTTTACTGAGCATATGAAGACCTGGAGGCTGCTGAGCAAAGCTTTTCGGCAGAAGCCGGGTGAAGGCATGGAAGCCACTGCCAATAAATGAGCGAACTGAAATTCAGATCTAGCTGGTCAAGTTTAGGTATTTCTAGTGTTACAAACCCCATGAAGCCTGCGGTACTCTAAAGGTCCTTGGGAGGCGGCCAGCGGTGTCCTGTTTTGACTTCTGGGAAAATCTACTATGATGTGAAGGCTCGATCCTACTTTGTTCTTAATATTTTTCCCCTAAATGTATCATAAATCGTGTGCCCCGGAGTCAAGAAGGGACAATAAGAAAGTAAAACTGTACCTGCTATGGTGAGGCAAGGGGACAGAAAACTCTCCTTTAAACCTTAGCATACCCTGCAGAGACGGAGCCTTGTCTGCGGCTGAGGCATCCCTTCGTGGGGACAGTTTGTCTGGGGCAGAGGCATCCCTGCGTGGGGACAGTTTGTGGCCAAGGCATCCCTGCGTAGGGACAGTTTGTCTGGGGCAGTCCGGATTTATTTAATGCCTGCTCTCCAGGCTCATGTATTAATCATGCCCCCTTTCTTTTTCACAGCCATTGCCTCTTCCAAAATAAGTTACATAATCACCCTGCCAGTATCCAGTTTCCCTTGCGTTATTTGTGTATTGCCTTGCAATCATTGGCCTAATATTGTCAGATCCATTTTAAACACTGATGAGTACTCAAATATGGAAAAGACTATATAGGCGATTTATTTTTAAAAAAGATGACTTACTTTGTACATTTGAAAGCACTTAACTTATAAAACACATGGAAAGGTAGAATTTCTAAAACTAAAGTGGTAGCTCTGGAATTTGCAAGAGGAAGCTGATAACTGAACAGAGCTTGGAGGGAAGGATTTGGGACCTCTGACTCCACACACTCATTTTAGCTCCAAAAAGACCTACTCAGAGTCGAAGTTAAATTAATCAAGAACTCAATGATAGGCGTAAGAAGAATTACAGGTTATCATCAGTTTAGTGGGGTTTCTATTGTCTCTAGTTAAAGTACCCTGTGAGGGGATGTGAAAAGTATTCATGCTATGAGAAATAAGGTCTGTTCTGTTCATAGCTACCTTTCGTCCGTGAAGGTCCTCAAATCAGACAGCACCTGCCCATTACAGATAGTCCCGAGGACTCATTCATTAACAGAAGTGTTTCTTTTCCAATGCCTGTGTGATTGAAATTGTTGACTTAATATATAATGACTGCCTGTTTCTACAGGCTTAAGCCAGTGAACCAGGTCATTTTACAATGAGTCTTTGAACCCATGCTGTGTGCCGATATAATACAGTCTTTTATTGATTTGGGTTATTTTACCGGTAAAAGTTATGACACATCCTTAAATACACTTTCCGGTCTTAAGTAATGGCATATGAAACTAGAGAGTTCCTAGTATTTATGCATGACTGTTCTTCTTATAAAACAGAAACTGTATATAATTTGAGAGAAGAGAATAAACAACTAAGAAAAGCACACCAAGACATTCACACACAGCTTCAAGATGTCAAGGTAAGGCAAAACCGGACATTTGGCTCTGAGGAAAATAAGGAATGTCTCTTATTTTCAGAATGGCTTCAAAAGTCATTCCTGGAAGCTGGAAACGTGGCTCAGAGATTACGAGTGCTTGATGCTCATGCAGAGGAACCACGTTTGGCTCCCGGTACCCTACCTCACAGCCACCTATATCTCCAGCTCCAAGGAATCCAGTGTCCTTGTCTGTCCTGTGTGAACACTGCACTCACATGCATACCCCGTGATGGCAACCAACACACACACACACACACAAAATTAAAATTTAAAAATAAAGTTTTTTTTTCATTTTTAAAATGCATTCCCTAGTTGATCTGCTTTGCAAACCCAGACAACTGTCATGGGCTTTGCATACCTGGGATAGACGTTTGCCACATTGGCATCACAAACTAAAGGTGGCCTAGGACCTCTGACTATCTGCATCAACACTGAACTCATTCTTTTGGTGAATGATTACACTTTAAGATGGATTTTATTTACCAAAGCTGACTACTAATGAAAGATTTATCTGGGTAGCACTTTTGATAGATTTTAGAATAGCCCATAAATCGTACTTCTCTCCAGGAATTTTTAAACCTAACAAATATTGCTCCAAACAACAAGCAAATAACATTTGGGTGGCCACACCAAAGAATTTTGTTTTGTGACATTAATTTAGCTCAACATGTAAACTTCTTTTTTGTGTAGCAACAGCATAAGAATTTACTCTCCGAGCACGAACGGCTTTTAGTGACTCTGGAAGACCACAAGAGTGCACTGTCTGCTGCACAGGTTAGGAGGGAAGCAGCCTCTGTTGGGTCCTGTTAAGGTCTGCTTACTATTTCTAAATTCCTTTATGCATGGAGTTTTCCACCACACAGTCTTCAGAGTTACTTCTGACCGCACTCCTAATCTCGGGGACAATGCATGCTTTTCCAAGTCACTGAAGAGACTACTAAATAAACTTGTTGCTGCTTTTTGTACATGGCTGTTTCTGCCTCTCCCACATCCTGTAGTCAGGGGTCCTGACACTTAACACAGCATGGCCTGGGAATGTGGTCTTTTGCACCTCTCTGGCCTGTGTCCCATCTTAGTAAAGATCCCAGATCTAGGCTTGTGCGATGGCAACTATCTGATAACTCAGACCCAGATCTTGTCTTTGCTCCTGACCTTATTCCCAGCATCCCAGTCTGTATGTGTATACCCTTCGTGGCACAAGAGTAAGACAGGGCTGTTCATATTACAGGAGAGCAGAAGGGCCGGTGAAAAAGGTAAAAGCAAGGGTCGTATCTGCACTTGGCCAGAGACTAGAGTAGGCCCTGGCGTAAGCCATGTTCCTGGTATATGTCTATTAAACGGATAAGCAATCAAATAGAAGCTATGGAGAACCTGGTGGGTGATTTCTAAATGAAGACTTTACAGCTTGAGAGCCAAAGCAGTAGGAGTGAGTGGCCAAGTCACTCGCTTTTTGCTTCATAAAATTATCTATAGTTAACACATTGGGCTTAGACCTATTTCAAAGACTCACTTTTTGCATTTAGAGGACCAGGGATGTTTTTCTAACATGCAAAGAATTCATTTTGTTTTCTAATTTTCTTAGTATGCTCTCACATTAATTTTTTCTTTAATACTTTAAGTGAGTCTGTGATAATTTCACACATGTATACAATGGATGATGACATTTGCCCACCATTTCCCCCTCAAGTTCCCATTAGCTCCCAGCCCACCCCCCCCCCCCACATGTGCACAGGTGTGGAGCCACAGACTGGAGCACTGGAAACCTAACTGTGGCCACACTCACAGACAAAAATGATTATCTTTCTCCTGGCTGCCCATAGCTTGCTCCGCTAGGAGTAGGGCCTTGTGAGCCACCGTCCTTGGGACCTTTGTCAGGTAGATGTCTCTGTACTACTCTGTTGCCCATGATGATTTTTATCTGTGTATTAATGGGTTGACTCTAGAGACTTGCATTGCAAGTCTTCTTCATAAAACTTGTCAGGTATTATTTTATAGGAGGTTCACAGAGCAAAAAGGAGTAAGCTGATTTGAACACTGTATGGCAATAGCCACAAACATTACAATAAGCAACAATCTGAAAATGTACAGAAATAGAATTACAATGGTTGGTTTAGTGACCCAAACCAAGTTCTTAACTAAGCACGTTAGTGGTATTACTGAGCCAACCATGGAACTTGCTGTTACTGGTATCACAAGTTTGTGGACACACACGCGTCAGTGGAAGCCAGAGGGTCCGCCTCAAGTGTCATTCCTCAGGACATCCTCCACTCTGAGACAGTCTGTCACTGTTCTGGAACTCAATGATTCCAGTACCCCCAGGAATCCACCTGCCCACCAGCCCAGAAAGAAATTTACAATAAAAAATAATTTCATACACACAAAAATAAATAAATATAGTTTTCTATTTCATTATTTACCATGTTTAACTGCTTTTGTAACTTCAGGCATTTTGATTGGAGGGTGCCCAAAGTTCTTACTTTTCAGGGTTTTTGTTTGTTTGTTTTTCTGTTTGTTTGCTTGTTTTATCTCAATGCTTACACTGTAACTACTGTATCCCTTAATTTCCTTAATTAGAACTGTATGTTTCTATTAATTTGAACTGATGTAACAAAATACCGTTGACTGGCGGCTTAGACGTAACAAATTTGTCATGGTTCCAGAAGCTAGGAGTTCAGATTACTACATTCAGACTCCTAGGAGGACTCTCCTCTGGGTTATGACTCCTGCCTCCTTGTATTGTCATGTGATGGAAAGAGACTGGGGATCTGGGGATGCTCCCAGGATTCCTTTTATGACAACGCTAGCTTCATTTACGAGGATTCCACTCTCAGAACCTGAGCACCTTCTAATATATCAACTTTCTGCTGTCAGCACTAAAGAGACTAAACTTCAGATATACACTTTCTAAAGGGTACACACATTCAGTAAATAACGTCATGTCACAACTTATCCACATCTCCAAGGGAGGGACAATTGCTGTTTCTGGCTTCTACATCTCGTATGCAAAATCCTCTTATGAGATTCTTTCTAGGCAGGGTGATTCTTAAATATAGTTGAAATTTTTATTTAATCTTCATAATCTAGGGCTTAAGGATGGTTCGGTGGATAAAATCCTTGCCACACAAGCCTTTTAACCAGAGCTTGATCCCCAGAATCCATTAGATGTGGAAGAAAAGTTCACTGATATCCACAGACAGACATTCCATGACATGCAGTCACACACACACACACACTCACACACACACACACACACACAATTATGATCCTTAATATACACTGATATCAAAACCACAACTTGACTACCATCGTGCATTGCACACCTTGGAGCAGTGTTTCTTGGCCTTCCTAATGCTTCCCTTAATCCAGACCCTCTTATTGTGGTGACCCCAACCACAGGATTATTTCCATTGTTACTCCATAAATGGATTGTTGCTACTGTTATGAATCATAATGTAAATATCTGATATGAAAATGATTTTAGGTGACCCCTGTGAAAGGTTCAACCTCCAAAGGGGCCACAACCCTCAGGTTGAGAGATATTACCTTAGAGGAAGAAAAAAAGAAAGCATAGAGTTGAATTTTGTACACCCCTCCGCATTACTGTGTGGATGCCATTTGTTTGGCTTAGTTCTCCAAAGTTGATTCCTAGATGTTCTGATTGATTCTGAGGTAAGGCCACTGGCAGCTACACGTTCCACTTTTGTACAAACTATAGGAGAGTACTCCCCTGATGCATATTTAGCCAGCTGACATCCTCGTTTTTGAAATCTAGAAGAGACAAAACAGAGCTGGGGAGACGGCTCCATCAGGATAGTGCTTGCCATGCAATCGTGGCCCCAAACCCCACAGAGAAAGGCAAGATTCGGAACCATAAGCTTATAATTCCAACTATGAGTTGTCTGGAGACAGGTGGATCCTTTGAGGCATTGGCCAGCCATCCTAACAGAACCAGTAAGCTTCAGGGTTATGAGAGGCCTTGTCTTAAAACACTAAAGATGAATAGCAGTAGGGGAAACCACCTGATAGGCCTTGGGCCTCGACACACACGCATGCACACGTGTATACATCTGTACATACCCTGTATGCCTATCATATATGCTTCCAACAACACACAAGAAGTAAGACAGTTCTTCTCCGTAAGCATGGAAGAACAAGAGTTCTATGTAAGTGTTGATTTACACAGTAATTCTCGTTTTAGGATAAGAGCGACACTGTCCATGAAATGTGGATATGCAGTGTCTACTAATTTTGTTAAAGTTATTGACTTATTTTCTACCTTTCTAGCTCCTTGTTAGAAACAAAAGGCACACACCCTGTACCTCCCACATCAAGCATACGCAGAAGCTTCTACATCAGATCCTTCCAGTCCTACACTCGTCCTATACTCACACGCCGCCTTTGTCACTTTAAGTCAAAGGACATGCAGAATTGATGACTGAAAACCCAGTTTCATTTCCCCCTATTTCCCTGTTCTCTGCTGCTGCAGAGCATGGTATAGAAAGTAGCAAGTAAAGGACCTGATTTTAGCATAAATCAACTGAGGAGAAGAGAGTAAACATAGACAGATAGATAGATACATACATACATACATACACACATACACAGATACATACATACATACACAGATAGATAGATACACACATACACAGATAGATAGATAGATACATACATACATACATACACAGATAGATAGATACATACATACATAGATACATAGATGAGAAGAGGGTAAACATAGATAGATAGATACACATATAGATACATAGATGAGAAGAGGGTAAACATAGATAGATAGATACACATATAGATACATAGATGAGAAGAGGGTAAACATAGATAGATAGATACATATATAGATACATAGATATATAGATACATAGATAGATGATACATACATAGACAGATACATACATAGATATATTCCATTGAAAGTTATAATTCAGGAATACTGTTAATGGGTCTCAATTTGAATAAACATGTAAGTCGATTTCTGATACAATAAAACATTGATTACATAGCTGTCCTTTATTAGTGATGTTTATAGTAGTTCTTATTTTGACTCACGTAGCCTGGGAAACTAACATGTCTTGGATATATTGTCCGTCTCTTAATTCTGGTTCTAATTTGCATGTGCTCAGAAATGGTCAAGCATGACCAAAGAGGAAGACCTAGTGCATGGAGGACCCTGCACCTTTTCTAACAAACTCGGGTTTCATGTTTTTCTACTCCTCCAGTGAACCTAAGAGCCCCTCTGATGGATTAATCTATGAATGTTGGCTTTTTTCTCATCACATTGTGCAATTTTCTTTCAACTGTGCCATCTATATGCAGACTCAAGTTGCAGAATATAAACAACTAAAGGACACTCTGAACAGGATTCCGAGCTTTCGAAATCCTGACACAGAAGAGCATCGAAATGTCACCTTTCTTCGTGGGACTCCACAAGGTTCCAACATAAGAGTGAAACCAACAGAAGAGCTAAGAGAGGTGAGGCGTGTGACCTGGGGGTCCCTGGTAGGTGTTGTTCCCTGTGGAGCCGTCCTGAGGAGAAATGCTCCCTGAACAGCCAGCTTTTCTCATCAAGCTTATTCCTAGATTCCGTATACATTAGCATCCCCCGTGGGGTATGTTTAAACAGGCTTCTCAGCCACAGCTCCACTTTCCAATTCAGTTCATTTGAGGTTTGGCCTGGAGATTTGTGTTTCTAACCAAATCAGCTAGTCTGGGGGAAAAATACTGATAATTAATGCTGTAGCATTTACTGGGAAAGACTTTTCCGGCTTTGCCTGTATCTATGTAAATTTACATGTATTAAAGGAGCTCTGGCATGTGAGGATTTGAAGGAGAGATTATTTTTCTTTCCTTTGAATATGTGGAAAGGTTTTGAATAGTGTAAGACTATTATGTGGCAGCCCACTTTGTTATCAGTGTTAATATAATGGAACTCACTACATTGCTGGGTCTATATAGAGCATGCCAAAACCATATCAAAATTACCCATGTAACCTGATCGTGATCCACTCTATACTTGTTCCTCGTGAAAATGAAGATTGGCTTGAGTATGTTTCAGAAGTGGAACATCACTAGGGTGGTCTTGCTTAGCACTGATTCTTCCAAGTTATTTGTCTGGGCTGGCCAAGTGGCTCAGTGGCACTCAAGATTAATGACCTGAACTTAATTCACAGGTCCCAAATGGAGGAAGGCAGAGGGGTGTTCCCTGACCTTCACATGCAGGCTGTGATGTGCTTGCTGTAAATGTTTGAGAAGTCTTGTTTCCAAGTGGCCATCTTATGGCAATAACGAGGTCAACACCAATGGATTTCTCCTGTGAATGTTTTTAGCATCATCGGAGCATTCCTCCACACACAGGCTCCGGGTCCTTGCAATCCAGTTCTTTCTTAGGGATTTATAATCTGAAATTTAAGACAGCATGAGGGGACCACGTGCCTGTCATTTGATTCTGTGCTCTGCTAGTCTGACTTCCAACCCTCCCAGTTCTCCATCTGATGATGCAGAGTTTGCTTTGCTCCAACTGCAAGTGGGAGATAGCAGTTATCTGCCGGCACATTCCTCACGGGGACAGAGTGGGGACAAATGGCAGGTGTTTGAAAGTAGTTAGAGCCCCTGAGAGAATATTTTCTACAAGGCAGTTTTATGGCAAACTTGCCAGAAGACTTTGTCAAAATGTACATCTGTAGAAGTTCCCAGATTTTCACGGAAGAGCTTTTCTCCGGACTTCATGATTTACACTCTTGCCTTTCTCAAGAGTGATAATTATATCCCTGCTAGCTTCAGACTAGGGGTCCCATTTCCTGTTGCTTGTGGTGTGGGCCCCTAGGCATCTAATTACAAGATATTAATCTGACCAAGGAAGTAAAGGTTTTTTTTTTTGATGAAGAAGAGGGAGAAGGCACTATAGATTTTCCTATCAGTATTTTTATCTTCCTAACTCATGTAGGTCAAAGAAAGGTTGTGAACTTATAGAAAATATGGATATGACTCAACAGATTTTAGAGAAGATATTTTCTAAAGTAGTTTTTTTCTCTTGGCTTAGTTTCCTGTATTGACAGTGTAAAATAAATACACAGACTACTTATGGTTTACAGGAGATGTAGTAAGACACATTAATATTTTATTGGGGTTGGGAAAAATAACTCAGCAAAATTCTTGCCATGTGCCTGAGTTTAATCCCTGGCCCCCATTTAAAAAGCCAAACATTAGAGCCTGTGCTTAGAATACTAGGGCAGAGACAAGAGGGTCTGTAGGGCCCATGGACCAGCCAATCTAGTCTAATTTGTCAGTCGGATAATCCTAAAGAAGGACCCTGTCTCAGCACACAAGATGAATAGCTCGTGAGGGGCGCAACCTGAGGTTGACCCCAAGCTTCCCCCTGCTCTGCCGGCATCAACAGCTGTGCATCTGAACACTTGCAAACACTGGCACAGGTGAACTGCTGTAACAAAGACTATTTTGTGTCTTGGTTAGCTGAAACTGTTTTAAGCTAAAGTAGATATCTGTTAGTATGCAAGTCCCTCTAATTACTAGTTAATGAAGCGAATGAGAAACCAACTTATTCCCTCTTCAATTAAATCTTTAATCTTACCCTAGCCCTTTCAAATGTCTGTTGACAAGAAAGTTGACCTCTCGAAGAAACTTTTGTAAGCTGTAAATGTGATGTTTCTGGTATTTATTGTTTTACTTGTTTGTTTCCTTTCTGTTCAAAGGAAGCTGGAGTAGATTGCATAGATTGCTTTTGAGGGAAGTTTTTGGGTTTTTTGTTTTGTTTTGTTTTTTGATCCATGGTTGCTGGTGGGTTTCACTTTCCTGGTCACTTATCATTCTCGGAGATAGAATTTTGCCTAAATTAGTCTTAGGGTGAAATGACACAGTGAGAATTAAATAGCTCCGTCACACCTGTTTTCTTTTTGAAGTCATGGTTGTGTATATTTCTGAACTCTAGGATACGTTGCTTATGCTGTAGCCCCTTAAATGTGGTCATAAAACAACAATGTCACTACTTTTGAAATGGCGAAAGTGACATTCTTTGTGTTGTGCCTGTCTTAGGTGCCTCTGCATAACGAGGTGTGGCAGAACCAGGAAGCAGTGCCTAGAAGGACGGAGGAGAAGCCTTTCTCTTCCATCCAGAAGGGAGCCGGGTTTCAGGCCGCAGCGGAACAGAACCAAGTGGAGCCCAGGGAGCCAGAGGAGCATCGAGTGGAGGAGGAGCACAGGAAGGCACTGGAAGAGGAGGAAATGGAGCAGGTGGGGCAGGCGGAGCGTCTAGAGGAAGAACATGACCCCTCACCGGAGGAACAGGATCGGGAGTGGCGCGATCAGCAGAGACAGGATGCAGCCCACCTTCTGGATGGCCGCCCTCAAGCTGAGGTGCATGGGTACTCGCTGCAAGTTCTCTCTGCTAGGGAAGCTGGCTTTGGCTTTAGACACTAATAAAAACATAAGGAGGCTGTGGAGATGCTCAGTCAGTGACGTACAAGCGGGAGGACCTTAGTTCTATCCCCAAAGTCCGTGTAAAAAGCTGGATGTAGTGGTGTGGACACAAGTCCTGCCCTGGAGAAGCAGACAGGTGGGACCCTGGGACTCACTAGCCAGCTAGCCTAGCCTGACTAGAAAGTCCAGGGCACACACACACACACACACACACACACACACACACACACGAGAGAGAGAGAGAGAGAGAGAGAGAGAGAGAGAGAGAGAGAGAGAGAGAGAGAGGTGGGGGGGAAAGAATCCCTTTAATGAATCACAGTCTCTATCAATCTTTTTGAAAGATTTCATTGAATGTTCTTTGCTTGTGTTTAAATTTTCTGTTGTAAGACTAATGGCACCGCATAGCTCAGAAAGGTGACTGGTGATCGGAGCAATGGCTGCTCGTAGACCTGTATTATCTATCCCATTGTCAGTGTTGCATGAGAGACTTGTTTTCATATCCCTGACAGAACAGCAGGTGAGCTCCCAACTGGGCGCCTCCCCAGAAGCTGCCCAAGTTGCACCCGGAGTATCTCAGTGTGGAAATACGTCTAATTTTCTGTGACAGAGTCCTGCTTCTTCCGGCCATTCACTTGCAGTTACAGTGCTAGCTTCTGCCCCCATTGCTCTCAAAGATGAATCAAAAGCTCTCAATACCCTCCCACTTACACATTCACACACTTAGCACTCACACGCATGTCCTTGAGTGAGTGCCCTTAGCCTGTCTCTCCTCAGATACTGCCCATCAGCTCACCGCTGACATCTGAGACCCATCTCTACCTTCAGAACAAACAAAAGCAGCCAGTGTCTTCAGAGGATCTTAGTGTCAGCCCACACTGAGTGCAGCCAGGGACTTTGCTTCACTGCTTCCAAACTCACACCCAACAATAGTGCACATGGATGCTGACAATTTCTTTGTAACTCTGTCTTTATTTGTCTTCCTATTCTCGGGTACTTGAAACTGGGTGAAGTCACCCTTAGTAGGTGTGAAGACCGCTGCTGTTGCCCCTCACATCCTTGCAAACCTTGCATGCAAATGGCACTGCCTTCCTCCCCTTAGGCTTGTGGTCCTCGATTCTGCCCTCGTCCTGTGGCTGACATTTGAGCATGTGTATTTTAATTGGGGGGTGGTTGGTAGTGGAAGGAAGATATGTAGCTCACTGGGGAGCAGAATTTTAAGAACATGCTGTTTGGTTTTCCTCTAATTGGAATGTATTATGTCTGCATCCGTGCATAGTTATTTAAAAAAAATCTCTTCTCTAAGACTGGCCTGATAGCTCAGTCAGTAAAGTGCCCACACTGCAAGCATGAGGTCCCAGGTTCAATGTCCAAGAACCCAGAAACACAACAAGTTCTAGTTCAGTCCCAGATCTGGGGTGGCAGAGACAGGGAGATTCCTGGGGCTCACATGCCTTGCCTTAACTCAGCAAGTCCCAGGCCGATGGAAGATGCTGTCTTAAACAAAAGCAAAACCAAGATCCACAAGGTGGCATCTAAGGAATGACAATTTAGGTTCTCCTCTGGCCTCCACACACACTCTCCATATTCTTATTCTTTCTGTCTCTCTCTGTGTCTCTCTGTCTCTCTGTGTGTCCTCTCTCTCTCTTTCTCTGTCTCTGTCTCTCTGTCTCTCTTTGTCTCTCTGTCTCTCTCTCTGTATCTCTCTGTCTCTCTGTGTGTCCTCTCCCCCACTCTCTCTCTCTCTCTCTCTCTCTCTCTCTCTGTGTCTCTGTCTCTCTCCTCTGCTTCCCCAATATAAGCTGAGATTTGACATTTTGCTTAGCCTGAGACTGGCATATCCATTGTTGGTGTTAATTAGCATCCTTGGGTCTTTAACTATTCCTAGACAAAGCATTAGCCTCACAAGTTGGGTAATTAGTGTGGGGTTGGTTACCAAGTGCCACATTCAGAACATATGAGCCTACATTTAATTAAGGGTAGAACTGATTCCCTCTGTTGTGCTGTGTTCCATCTGAGCTGGAACACACGGAAAGATGGCCTTCTTGCCCCAAGACTGCTATAAGAAGGCCAAGGCCATTCAGAAAAAGACAGAGATTGTGAGATACGGGACTTCACGTGTAATTGGCGCTCACCTGCCATGAAGCGTTAAGAAGCCCACCCTGCCTCCTGCGCTTGTCCCGACAAGGACATGAAGGGATTCCCGGAGGGTGTAGCCCCTCTGGGTTAGCATCAACTCCTTGTGTTCCAGGTGGACCATCCCACCAAGGCAATCACGAAATCCCGGTCCCCATACGAGGAGCAGCTGGACCAGCAGAGGCTGGCGGCGAGGAGGGATGAGGAGGCTCAGAGGCTCAGAGAACACCAGGAAGCCTTGCACCAGCAGAGGCTACACGGACACTTGCTGCGGCGGCGGCAGCAGCAGCAGCTCCTGGCCAGAGAGATGGCTCAGCAGGATCAAGCAGGGCTTGAGGAAGCCCAGCAGCACCCGGAGAAGCAACGGTAGCCTGCCCCTTCCCTTGGTGGGTGTAGACAGTCCTTCCTCCGCCGTCAAATCAGCCGTGTGTGTGTGTGTGTGTGTGTGTGTGTGTGTGTGTGTGTGTGTGTGTGTGTGTAGCCCTTGTACCCTTGGTGGGTGTAGACAATCCTTCCTCCGCCGTCAAATCAGCCGTGTGTGTGTGTGTGTGTGTGTGTGTGTGTGTGTGTGTGTGTGTGTGTGTGTAGCCCTTGTACCCGTGGCAAGAGGGCTGGCTCGTGGTGCCCATGTAGACAAAGTAGGAAACACCTGGAGAACTAAACGCTAGAGACTAACTTCAGCCTAATTTTTTTCTTCCTAAAGGTGATAGTTATGGACCGAGAAGGTGGCTTGGTGATAAAGGGCTTGCCACACAAACATTAGGACCTAAGTTCACGCCCCCAGAATCTATGTAAATCTAAGTACGGTGGCACACAGCCTGTAATCCCAGGGCTAGTACAGCAGGATGGGAGTTGGAGACAGGAGATTCTCTGGAGGCTCGCAGCCAAATAGCCTGGAGTATGTGGAGGCAAACATCAAAAAAGGGGCCTTGTTTCAAGCAAGGTTGACATCAAGGACAATGTGCAAGGTTTTCTTCTGACCACCTGGCCGGTGCACCTGGCGTGTGCATGTTGGTGCACCTCTCATGAAACTTACACACACACACACACACACACACCACATAGTAATAAAGAAACTTAATAGATCTCAAAATAGACTAGCAGACTTAGTTCTAACTTTATTTTGTCATGGAATGTCATTTTCCCTCTTACAGGTGTGCTTTGAAAACATATCTGCTGTCACTATTATATTTTATTGTGTTTCTAAACCTCAGAAACAAGTTATGGCTTACGTTTAAAGTTTGAAAATCCTCTTTTATTCCTGACTTGAAAGATAGATGACCTGTTTCAAGCCTTGCCTGCTAATTTCTGTTTCTGAATTTATGTCACCGGCAGGCAGCAAGTTGATTACAATGCTGTAGAGAACGACCACGTTGTGCAGGGAGCCGAGGACCAGAGAATCCATGAAGAGGAGGAAGGAGGTAAGACTCCATAGATGGTGACCCCTCACCCGGATGACTTGATCACGTCACACCGTGCGGACAAGCACATTCTGGAGCACCAACAGGCAGAGTAAATGCAGCAGCAGGCGGGCGGCTGGCACTCACACGTAATGCTGTTGTTACCTTTGGGCTGAGTCCTGGCAACAGTATTTAGCAGTCCTGCAAACAGGTGGAGACAGCGGCTTTTTTCAGAAACCTCTCCCCTCATTGTGTGCTTAGTACTTGTTTCTGACAAACATCATAGGATTGGGATTCTTTAGGAAATTTCTGTATTTTCTACTTAGCTTGGAAATCTTGCGCCCTTGCTTTTATTTGTGACAAACCTCTAGTATGAAATTCGTCAAACGCTGCTCCCTGTGGAGACGGAGCTGAGGTTAACTCAGCTTGGTACCACTGACTCTTACAAGTGTTCGATTTTTCTAGAAAGTGTCTAAGGAAAAGCAGGGGCATGCACTCAATCAGCAGCCTATCATGCTACTTTATAACGTTAAGAGTCAAGACATTGTTGCCTTTATGTCCCCCGTGGGTCACTTTAGCTCCCTCCGTTTGTTATTCATGAGACTAAGGGCTGCTGGCTCCCTTCTTGTTTAATAAGTCCCCTGAGCACTTTCAGCTTGCCCGCAGGCTCCCTGGGTGTGTCCAGACTAAATAACTGCAGCCTTAACCTTCCCTCTTATGTCTTACTCTCGAAATGATTGACAGTTTGTGTGTGTATGTAATTCTGTTAATCTGAGTACCACCACCACCCCCCAAAGAATACCAAGTAAACTCTTAAGTCACTATAAGCACAGGATGGTTTTTCCTGGCAGCGATATGTCTGCTTCTGAGTTTAACGTTGTTGGCGTCCATTTTTAAAGGTCTCAATTTTGGGTAACTCCTTTTGTGACAGTAACCAAAAAGACTCAATCACGTATACCTTCTTTTATTATGAAAATCGTGATTATTGCTTTTGTGTCTGGTGGGGAAACACCAGCCTCTGCTATAAATATCCCTTGAGAATGGTAGCATGGTACGTTTACCCATCCACGTGACACGCAGCCTGTAAAATAGGACAGAACTGCTCAGAAAACAAGAGAGAGACATGCCACTGCCCGAGAAGGACATGAGATAGAGTGGCGTGACCTCCAGGGAAGCCACCACGGGCTGCCGTTTGAGAGGAAAGTCCTGCCTGATCCGCTCTGGGCTGATTATGGTGCCTTTGCTTGGTTAGCCTATGAAAGAGATAACCAGCGCCAAGATGAAGCTGAAGGAGACACGGGCGACAGACAGGAGCGTCACGAACCAGGACCCCAAGAATCTGACCCAGAAGCTGAGGCAGATGTAAGTCTCCTCCACTGATCCCAACAGTCAGGAAGTCACAAGGCAGGCAGGAAGAAAAGGTGAACTTGTGTGGCTGGGAAGCGAGCTCTGAACTGTTTGCAGTGACAGAAGCAGAGCCCATGAGGGAGTGAGAAGATGTCCCTTGAGAGTGAGGAAGCCAGAGCACAAAAGCCTGCCAGTGCATAAGGGGAGGCGAGGGTGCCAGTGTGGGATGGCTGGGTCTGACAGACACCTACCTTTAGGATCTGCTGCACGATCCCTGGCTGATGGGATCCAATCCTTACTCTCCTGACATCTGTTTGTTCTAGACAGTGCACTGAAAGAGATAGGGGTTTTTTTCTTCCTCAATATATGTTTTTATTTAAATTAGAAACATGAATGCTTCACATGTCAATCCCAGCTCCCTCTCCCACCCCTCCTCCCTTATCACTCTACCAGCCCCCACCCAATCCCAACATCATTCCCCAGGGAGGGTGAGGCCCTCCTTAGGAGGATCTCCAGAGTCTGCCATTTCCTCCAGGGCAGGACCTAGGCCCTTCCCCATGTGTCCAGGCTGAGACAAGGCCCCAGCGATTTCTGAGGCCTCCTCACTGACACTACATTCATGGAGTCTGGAACAATCCCCTGTTGGCCTCTCAGCCATCAGTCTGGGACTCAAGAGCTCCCCCTTGTCCAGTCAGCTGTCTTTGTGGGTTCCACCAGCACAGTCTTGACCCCTTTGCTCATCACTCCTCCATCTCTGCCACTGGGTTCCAGGAATTCAGTTCATTGTTTAGTTGTGGGTATCTGTCTCTGCTTCCATCAGTCACTTGATGAAGGTTCCAGGGTGGCATATAGGATAGTCATCAACCTTATCATCAAGGAGGGGCTATTAATGTAGTCTCTCCACTATTGCTTAGTTTGCCAGTTGGTGTTATCCTTGCAGATCTCTGGAGATCTCACTAGTGTCAGCTCTGTCCTCAAGCCTATAATGACTCGATCTATTATGGTATCTCTCATCCTGCTCTCTTCTATTCTTAACTCGACTCAACCTCTCTGCTCCCCCATGCCTTCTTCTCCCCTCCTCTTCTCCCCCTCACTTTTTCTTGGTTCCCTCTCCCCTCCCCTGATGTTCTCAATCTGCTCAGGAGATCTTGGCTCATTCCACTTCTCTGGGGTACCATGCATAAAGAGATAGTTTTCTAACATGTCTTCTTTTAACAAGAATTGAGTCAGTCACCTCTTGTCCCATCGTGCATTCATTCTCTTATGTGATGTAACGCTTTTCCCTGTAACCCCCTCAACTGTTGTTTGGTTGCAGGTGGGACTAAATTTGCATTTTTATGATTTTTTTTCTCTGTAAAAAAGGTACTTAGGAATAGGATACAGTTTCTTCCTTATCCCCCACACAAGTGACCAATAGTTCATACGAGAACGCCTGTGTGGAGAGATTGCAAAGTAATTGGACTTGGGTGTGATGGTGATGACTTCTCATTTCTGTTGAGAGCAGTGTCATTTGTACTTGATGTTGCCAGCCAGGGCTGTGCGGTAATAAACCATCTGCCCCTGCAGGGAGCTCTTGACCATGCTCAAATAGCCTGGTGAACAGAAGAGCCCCTTGACTATGTAACACTGAGAGGCTGAATTCCCCCTCTGTGGCTTCAGGGTCTTAGGGAGAGCAATTCCCGCTTCAGTAGGTGTCCCGTGGCTTACTGAAGGAAGGGGGATGCCCATCTCAGGGTCTTGTGAGTTTGGCTATCACTTAACATGTGTGCTAGGGGCTTACATGGATAACTGAAGTAATTATGATGTCAATTCACTGGAAAGGCATTTGTGGGAGACAGTTATTGGGAACTGCTGTGGAAATACCTTTGATGGTACATTGTCTGATTTCTCCCATCCATTTCTAAAGCCATATCACTCTATTTCATGGTAGAAACTTGGCATGCTACAAATAGACCATATACTGTGGAGTTCATTCTCTATCCTGTGTCTTTGTTGAGTCCTTCTGGTGTGGACTCCTTCCCGTCAGATATATTCACCTATTTACCTGTTAAAATTTTCTAGCAGGGGGCATCAGAGGTACCCCAGTAAGTAAAGTGTTGGCTGCTTTATCTCCAGCATCCAAATAGAAAGTCAGGTGTGGTGGTGCACCTTATAATACCAGTGCTGGAGCTCTGGAGCTGCGTACCCAGGGCTCCATACTAAGCCAGTCTAGTTTAGTGGACGGGCCCCATGTCTCGCTGTAAGACATCCTGTCAAAAAATGGAATGTGAACGGCTCCTGAGGAGTGACACCTGAAGTTAACCTGGGGTTTCCACACTCATGTGCACTCCTGGGCAGGTACAGAGAGGTGCACATGCACGCACTTGTACACATGCAACCAACACACACACACGCTTCACACCCACAAATTTCTCTCAGAGGGAGGTTTGTGAAAGTCAATGTAGCGGTAAAAGGAGTTATTGCTGCCCCTAACTCTCCCATCTTGATTATTACTGATCTATTTTTATTCTGCTTCGCCCTGTGACTTGTGTGAGCACTGTTGTCTGCGTCGTGGAGCTTACGCTACCAGCAGAGTGTTGGGGAATCACTTGCACGAATGACGTTCTGTGTGCACTTCCTCAGTTGATCTGATTCCTCCTACTGAAAAAGCAAGATGAGCTCCATCTTGGACATTGAGCTGTTTCATACTCTGCAGGTCTCGGGGAAAATTTGATTTGAACAGTCGGGTGAAGGGCAATTTCATTTTCTGTCAGTGTGTGACCTTTCCAATGAAATTAAAGTTGAGCCTCAGTTTTGAAGCTATGCTTGCTGCTCATGAACATTTTCCAGAGGGCAGCTGTGGAGGATATAAACCCAGCAGATGACCCCAACAACCAAGGGGAAGATGAATTTGAGGAAGCTGAGCAAGTGAGAGAAGAAAATTTGCCCGAGGAAAGTGAAGAGCGAAAACAAGGTGAAGCCAAGCAGGAGAACACAGAAATGGATGAGCACTTGGTGGTAAGACGGTGCCTGCGTTCAGCCTGAGCGTTTCAGTGAATGCCTGGCTTGTGGGAAAGACAAGCACTTGTGTGGGGTGAGAGACAATTTGCCACATCAGCTCTTCATCGGGTCTTGAACCCTGGCATAAGATGATACGGGGTTTGGACCCTTGAGTAAGATGATGTGGGTTTTGGACCCTTGAGTAAGATGATGTGGGTTTTGGACCCTTGAGTAAGATGATGTGGGTTTTGGACCCTTGAGTAAGATGATGTGGGTTTTGGACCCTTGAGTAAGATGATGTGGGTTTTGGACCCTTGAGTAAGATGATGTGGGTTTTGGACCCTTGAGTAAGATGATGTGGGTTTGGACCCTTGAGTAAGATGATGTGGGTTTTGGACCCTTGAGTAAGATGATGTGGGTTTGGACCCTTGAGTAAGATGATATGGGTTTGGACCTTTGAGTAATATGATATGCCTGTACTCCAAGAGTGAGGTAAGGGGTGAGTGGCACACACTTCTTTGGAGAAATGAACATTCAGCATTTTCTGGCTACTGATGCATTTGCAGGGATGCTTTTCTTCATGATGTGCTCATTCTCCGACCCAGCATCCTTTCCTTTGTTTCAACAGATGGCAGGGAATCCAGACCAGCAGGAGGATAATGTTGATGAGCAGTACCAGGAAGAAGGAGAGGAGGAGGTATGAGATGGGGTGCATGGGACCAGTCACACGGGGCACACCACCCTCAAACAGACCTCAGCTCTGTTGACTTTGACCTTCAGACTTAAGTCACACGAGAAAGGGGTGGGAGCCTGAAGAAGAAGTGGACTGTAGCAACTGAAGCACTTAGGAGGCAGCAAACCAGGCTGATTTTAAGTGACCAGAGATTTGGAATTAGGAAGAGCTCTGGCAGATTGAGATTCATGGCATCTTTGTGAGAGCGTCCATAAATGCATAACATCAAAGAGAGAAGAAGGAATTCTCTGCAAATCCCTATCCCTGCGCCTCTCTCTGCGGGCTCGTCCCCATGCCGACTCAGGGAGACCCCCACAGAGTGACCTGGGACCCACTTAACCCACTCCCAAGTATTTCTGGAGATTCACCAATATTTCCTTCTGACCTCTTCCCTTAATAATGAGGGCGGGCTCACCTGGCAAGTGAGAGGCCTTGCGTTCAGTCTCCAGCACACCCGTTCCACCAAAGGAAAAGGGGAAAGAGAAAGAAAGGAGGAGGTGAAATATGGGAAGGACCAGACTTTGTTTGAATTAAAGTGCATTCAGATGGAGTTTCTTAGTATTAAACTTTAACTTGCTTTCATTGTAGATTTCTGGCATATTGGCACTAATGAGTCTTATGAAATACCTCTCCCAGTATCTTGTTCCCTGGTTAATCAGCTGATGAGTGCAGTGTGTGCCTCTTTAGTGAACTGTGTGTGGAAGTGTCCTAGGTTTTTATTGCTGTGAAGGGTCACCATGACCATAGCAACTCTTATAAAGGAAACCGTTTAATTCAGGCTGGCTCACAGTTCAGAGGTTTAGTCCGTTATTGTCACGGTGGGAAGCATGGCAGCACACAAGCAGACACAGTGCTGAGGAGGCAGGAGAGAGGCCCACATCCAGCTAGGCAAGCAGCAGGAAGAGAGTGAGCCACCAGGCCTCCCTTGAGCTTCTGAGGCGTCAAAGCTCACCCCCAGAGACACACTTCCTCAAATAAGGCCATGCCTGCTCCAGCAAGGCCACATGTCTTAATCCTTTCAAATAATGCTGCTTCCTGTGAGCCTGTGGGGGCCATTTTCATTCAAACAGGTCCAGACACCACACTTACTCTCTCTGTCAATAGGCAAGTCAGCATTTCCCCAGTTAAAGCACTGGTTAAGAAAATGTTTCCTAACATAACAGTGTCTTACAATCAGAAGGCTTTGTCCCTGAATGGAAGGGGGTGGGGTAGGTGGCAGGTGAGATGGTAGACACGTGACCAGGAAGAGAGCAAGCTGGGAGAGTGAGTTCCCTGCACCGTATCCTCGGCTGCCTTCACGCATCCTGCCTCATTCTTCCTTGTCTTGGTCAGCTTTTTAGAGCCAGTGCTAACATGTGTGCTTATCCCGGGGAAAGAGAAAATCATTCTTTATGACCGCAGCCCTGTTCTCTGCAACAGCCTTCGTCTTTGCCGTCTCGTGTTTCCTCCTGCTGCTCAGCTTCATGGAGTGCCGGAGACTGTCTTTTCCTAAAGAGCACTGCAGACAGTAGCAGCCATGAGTACTAAGACGGCTGCAGGAGAGAGCTATTCGTCAGGACTGCTCTTTTAACAGGGTGTCGGGACCAATAGTCCTTTGTTTCCTTAAGTCAGCTGAGGGGAAGCGCTGAGGGACTAAGAGAGAAAGGGTTCACCTTGGCTTCCTTTTAAAAATTCAGAAGGGTAAACATAAAAGTTTAATCAGTGTTTGCTGACTCCGTCTCGGCTCTGAAGGATGATCAGTTAAGGTGAAGGAGGGAACACCTGAGGCATGAGAGGGTTGGACGACGCAGAAACACACAGAAAAGAAAGACAGGCGCCAAGGCAGACACTAGCAGCCTGCATGGAGCACAGTCCTTCCCTCCTTTGTCCCAGAGTGACTCGCCTCGGCTCTGCTGGGCCGCTAGCACTGTCGGGAGGCCTTTTAACAATGTCAGTGTCTATACTTTCTAACCCCCCTGGACGCTCTCTCTCTCTCTCTCTCTCTCTCTCTCTCTCTCTCTCACACACACACACACACACACACACACACACACACACACACGCACTCTCTCTCTCACACACACACACACACACACGCACTCTCTCACACACACACACACGCACTCTCTCACACACACACACACACGCATGCACTCTCTCTCACACACGCATGCACGCACGCACGCACTCATGCACACACACACCCCATTTACAAAGATTTTCTTTCCAGTATTGACTGCCTCCCTGTCCACTCAGCATCCCTTGTACAGGCTATGTTGAATTTGCCCCACTCTTTCCATTATTCCAAGGTCTTCTATAGAGGCGGGGAGGAGAACCGATGCCGCATTTCTTCAAGCGCTAATAACAGAGATGAGGTGCTGAGCAGCCTGCAGCAAAATGGGCAGTGAATTAGAAGCATGGGTGCATGGCACTTAGTGGGGGGGGGTAGCATTCATGGACACACTATAGAAACTGAAATGCCACATGGCTGTGTCCTGCTCGTCTATTCTTTGCCTCGCGTTCCGGCGGTTCTGTAACAGCCGGGCCGTAGACTTGTAATAGCACCCAGTTTCCTTCCCTTCCCAGCAAAGCTCAGATGTGTTGGTATTGGTGTACCACTGTAATCGTATTCACTGGGGTTGCTCCAGTCAGAACTGCAGTCGTCAGATTTACCACCTGAGTTTGGGGAGCACAGCATAAGCGTCACACTGAGTACAGGAAGTCTATACTCTCCCTACCTTCTTTGCCTTCTTTCAGAGAGAGAACAAGGAGCGGGGAGGGGAAAGGGAGGAAGAGAAAGTGTATTGTGTATTTGTGTACATGTGTATGTTCCAATGTGGGTACACATATGTGATCACAGTACACACTCCCGTGCATGCACATGAGTTAGTGGCCAGAGGGCAACCTTGGATGTCATCCCAGAGGGCAACCTTGGATGTCATCCCTCAGGTGACATCCGCCTTTGTTGTTGTTGTTGTTATTTTTTGTTGTTGTTATTGTTTTTTGTATAAGATCTGTCATTTGGCCTGGCATTCACAGAGTAGGGAGGCTGGCTAGCCAGACAACCCCAGCCTGTCTGCCACACCAGAGCTGTGCGTGCCGCAGGATCTGAGGACTGAGTTGAGGTCCAGTTGCTTTCCCGGCAAACACTTCCATGACTACCCCGTGACCCCAGCTTCCTACTACCTTCATTTATCCCAGCCAGGTTATCTTTCCAAGACATAAACGTGATTCCTGACCAGCACTCCTTCTGTATTTGTTTATGATTTCTAGAGCGAAAATATGTTTAAAAATATCTTTCTTATGTTGCTAGCATTCCGGATATTATATCTGCTTCTGAGTGAAGAGACACATTATGACATATCTAAAAAAGTTTATGTATTTTAAAGTAATTAATGATAAAACAGGTTAAATGACTACTTGAAAAATGTGGCTGTTTCAGTATCTCTAGTAAACCAAAAAGCAGAATAATAAGAACCTTCAAGAGAGAGAAGTAAAGGGTACCTGTCCACCTTCTGTAGACAGAAGGACACACACCTGATACCAGATGTGACCTGAGAATCACCATGTCAAGAAACTTTCCCAGCGCTGGGGGTATGGCTCTTGCCCCTCACGCCAGAAGATCTGTCTCAGACAACGCATGTACTGGTTGTAGGGGTGCACAGCTAAAATCCCAGCACTTTGGGAGTGGAGGCAGTAGGGTCAGAAGATCAGGGTTGTTCTCAGCTACACAGCACGTTTGAAGCCATCCAGGGAGATCAGGTCCTGCTAGGAAGGGAGGAAGGGAGGCCTTTTGAATGGGCGCAGATTCTTTGCAACCTTGTACATGAAGCACTGTAGCTCATGCTGTTGAAGGCCTTTGACTGTGTCTCAAGGCACCACCCCTGCACCCTCCCATGCTCAGCCTCGTAAGGGGAAGCTTCCCGGTTCCCAGCCAGGTACACAGTTTCTGTCGTATGTAGAAGAAAAGTCTTCCTACACCCGCTAGCACAGGATGGCTAGCCAACACCAGCTTCAGCTGCAGGTGCCGGCTTTGTTTTGTGTAACCCGAAGCAAGTTTTGCCCCATTCAGTAGGATTCTTTTCTGCAGTTTCTGAAGCAGAGTTCTCAGGGCTGCATGAGAAGTAGCAGTGTTGAGATGTGTTTGGTAAAGCACGGTGCCATCTTTAGGAGGATATTAAGGCAGACTGCTGTGGAAGATGGAAATGATGAAAGGTGAACTTTTGACCCAGGGCTGTCCGCATAAGCGTATTGTAAAGCTCGGGAATACAGTATCATCTGTTCTTCTTTAGAAGTGCGGCTAAGATGAGCTTGGATTACTTCCGTCTCAAATGTGATGAGTTAATTAATAATAGATACGTAACAGTCAATTGTCTCTATGGCTAGAATATTACAGAATGCCTTTTTTTTAATTAACAAAGAGCCATTTAAATCACTAGTTCACAACTATGATTACAATGAAAACCGGGGCATAAGCTCAAATTTCTACAGTAGATCCACTGAGTAGAGAAAAGGAGAAGCATTCTTACAAAGTTTGTTCTTTCCCTCGCCAGACACTCTTAGCCAGCACACATTGTACTCAAACGTGTAGTGTCCTGTCTCAGCCGTGACCCAGCGTCACCTTGAGAAGTTCATGAAAAATACAAACCTCTAGTCAGACTCTACCCTCTGGTATTTGGATCTTGTCTTTCAAGGGTCCTCGAAATCAGCCAGCAGATACTGCTCTTTTGGGAACCTCTGTTTAGATAACTAGTTATAGGGAAAGAAGTTTAGATAGATTTTGCAAAGTGTAACCTCTTGAACTTATGGATATGGTCATACCCATTTGCTAAACATTTTCTCACTAAATACTTAACAAGGTCGACAACTCTCAGACCGCTCTTCCCCCAACACAGACAATAAACACAAAGGGGTTTTGATTCAACACGTTTTTTTTTTCATGTATTAAAAATTGAGCTTTAGAGAGATCAGTTTTTTTTCAGAATCACACCATTTGTTATTTCTTGTTGAATTCTAACTACAGCTTACCCAGGGCCAGTGTAAGGTTGATATTATTAAGAATACCAACAACTGAAAGTTTATGTGAAGGAGGTCTTGGTGGAAATTAATAAAAGAGAATGATAGAACCAGAAAGTCACCATGCTGTAATCTCTAAATCGAACAATCGACTTAAACATATTCATCAATGAATGATGTCACTACATGGACAGAGGTCAGAGAAATTTCCATGGAGCATGGAGTGACTGGGTTGTCAATACCTGATGTCACTGATGGAGGACAACCTTACTTTGTTAGGATACACACACACACAGGCTGCATGCTGATGGAATGAAAACAGCAAGTTTTCAGCACTGCTTCTGAAGTGCCCTTGAGTCTTACGTTGAATCTGAATTTGATCATAGTTTATGTTTAACTTTACTCATAGGAAACATAAGGACCTAGAGGGATGGTTACAGTTATGGTTGAAGGCATACCACACAGAACTGAACGTAGAATTTTTTTAAGTAAAAAGGATGCAAGGAAGCCCATGTTGTCCATTATCTTTGTTTAGATTGTGATTAGGACACATGACAATTGTAGTCTCTGTCCTCAAAAGGCTGTTGGACAGGACGACTGGTTGACACCAGGTTGGGTCACTTTGTTCCATGTCAGCTTGTGTGGCAGTGTAAGACCTTCCTTACCTCAAAACAACACAAAAAACATTTTAAAAAGACAGTCAAGGGAGTGTTGAGTGTGGTCTAACCAGTAGATTATAGTACAGGGTTACTGAAGTAGTCAAATGTCATCATAGCCCTTTGTTTGTACAGAGAGATGAGACCAACATTGCCAGAGATGCTTGCTATGGATGTAAATGGCATTGCATGGAAACTGTGTAATGGGTGAAAGTTTGAGTGTAACTCAGCAAAGGGCTGGGGCGATGGCTCAACTGCTTAAATATTTACTCAAGCTTGAATGCTTGAGTTAGGTCCGTAGCATTCACATTGAAAAAAAACTAACATAAACTTGATAACATACACTTGTAATTCCACCACTGGGAAGACAGATAGGTGGGTCCCTGGGGCCTCACTGACCAGAGTAGGCAAATTTGTGAACTTCAAGATCAATGAGAGACTAAGTTTTTAAAAAATAGAGTGGAAGACTGAGGAAAACACATGACACTCACTTCTGACCTCCCATTTCTGGTGCGCGCGCGCGCGCACACACACACACACTCACATATGCACACACAGGCATATTAGTAATTCATTGAAAAAAGTAGGCATATCAAAAACATCCAGATTGGCCGTGTTGAAATGAATGGCTGGAAGAGTCTTAGAGGTTCTCTTTATTGGCCTGCACTTGAAGGTTTTCATAATGAAAATGGTTTTCCCAGCATGCTGGCATAGATCTTTAATCACAGCACTCCAGGAGCTGATGCCCGAGGATTGTGAGTTTGAGGTGGGACCCTTTCTGAAACCAAAGCAAAACAGCAAATTTGACTTCACTGTTTATATAGAAAGAAATATTTACAGGCAAGCCTTTGGTTGAGATTTGTCTCTCCACACAGTGTATGTTAGGAGGTAGAAAATTCCAATACGCACAGTCTGTTTTGTAAATAAGTTTTTACTGGAGCAGTGCAATATTGCTTGAATATTGTGTACAGCTGTTTGGCTCTACATTGGTAGAGTTGTGTTGCATGAGAGAGCAGAGTGGTTGAGGCAGCCTGAGCAGTTACTAGTCCCCACTGGACACAAAAAGATTTCCAGCCTCTGATTTAGGGATTTTTCTCGCTGTACTGCACAGTTTCTAAGCATTTCTTCTGTTCCCAGCCAACTCACATTTAGTTAAGTAATGCTTTCTTCGTTAAAGTTATAGAAAAGTTGATTTTGTTTATCAAAATTGACAGAACACTTAAGCAATTTAATAAATAATGCTTCAGTTTGTCAGCCCTGGATATAATCGGGAATATCTGTTCCACTGACCTCATCCCAATATCCTGTGGAATGTCACTGTAGATCGATGACTAATGGCAGAAGAGATGTAATGGACTATTGATAAAGCCGTAAAGTGAGACAGGGAGTCTTTAGTACCCTACCAGGAATTGTGAACACAGAGCATGTTCTATGCCTCTGACCTAATTATTTGGAAGGAATACAGTTTAGGGGCTCTAGGTCCAGCCGACAGCAGAATGACTAGAGTAGACTCATGAAGCCTTCCCTGTGGCCTGAGTATCTTGGAAGAGGTATCCTTGTAGGCTACAGACAAGCTAGCATCTATCCACAACCCTTCAGGAGGCTGAGCTATGCTCATTTCCCTCATTTTGTTTGGATGTTTTGAAGCAGTGTCCGATCTTCTACCTGAATATAGCACCTCACCCATTTTACAAAGTGGCAGCAGCCACTCCTCCAGCTTTTCTTCCCCCAAATCTCTTACTGCCTTGTGTCATTCAAGAGGACTTAACCATACGCTATGAATCCAGAAGAAACTGGCTTCATACCAGCCCAGTCCTTCCCACCAAACTGATGTTCTGAGGATCTTTGTAATACATGCAAATGACTTCCGTCTTTTGGCATATATAGGGTTTCAGATGTTGACAATTTGGAAACTGTATTATCACCTATTTCTATAAGATATGATCATTAGAAGATATTTAGTAAATGTATTTGGATGCTGTCTTTGATTCACAATTTGCGATAAATACTTGCACCCAATGAAACAGTGATAATAGTGTACACAAAACAAAACAATTTCAAACAGAAATGTGCTGCCACATTAGAAACAGGAATGTGGGAGCTGTTTGTAATAGAACATTTCACGAAGAATTTGAAATTATTTTGTCCTATTTTCTATACATTTTAGTTAGATAAATTTAGATACATCTGTACCTATAAAGAAGAGATATTTTTTGCATTTATTTATTCATCTACCCTATTAGTAAGCTATTACATATTTAACTACCCCATTAGTAAGCTATTACATATTTTAAAATATTGACTTGCCTGAAACATAGTGATTACTGATGCCAGCAAATAAGACAGGCTGCTTTGCCTTCCTAAAACTTTCTCTCCCATCAGCCTTCTAGAATTCTCGAGTTCTCCCCATTTGAAAGTAGAAACACAACAATTTGTAAAGAGAGCTGAATCTCATTATCTATTGACTTTGTAGAGTTCACCCATATCCAAACAAATCGAATCCAGGGGTCCTTCTTTGAGAATCACATTGATTTTTAAAAATTTTTGTTTATCACAGTTGTATATATTTATATAAAGAATTTTAACCATCTTCCTCTCCATATCCTTTCCTAACTTCTTCCCTTACCCCGTTCCCTTTCCCTCTGGGATGCCTCTTTTCAACAAGTCTTCCTGTGTTCGCATATTCCTTTTGGGAGTGACCCACTGAATCTAATTAGACTTTCTTGCCAAAACGTGAACAGGAGGTAATTTACTGGAGCAGGTGAGCCTTCTCGGTGCTATACCACTGAAGAAAATGGCACCTGTCCCTCAAAAGACTGTTAACTGCCAACAGTTTCTCCAGAGGTATATCACGCGCTTCTGTGCACCTACTAGACAGGACACACTTTTGACTTTTTATCATTTTCAACCTTAATTTTAGTTCCTCTTTTGTAAAGATGTGAAATTGTGAATGAATGTCTTAGAAATTGGAACTTTTGTCACAAGTGTTTACATGGGAAAGCTTTACTCTGTGTTTATGATTGTGTTTTAGGTTCAGGAAGATTTGACTGAAGAGAAGAAAAGGGAATTGGAGCATAATGCTGAAGAGACCTATGGTGAAAATGTATGTTTGTTTCTTTTTTTAATAATTTTTTATTTAACTTTTTACACATGTTTCTCCCAGTTCCCTCTCCCTCCCCTCCTCCCCCAGCTCCCCAATCCCTCCAGCCCCCATCCCACTCCATCCCCCCTCTGTTCCCCAGGAAAGGTGCATGAGTGTGTATGGGTGCCTGTACATGCGTGTGTGTATGTGTGTGTGTGTGTGTGTGTGATGTGTATGTATGTATGTATGCATGTATGTATGTATGTGTCTATGTATATATGTACGTTAGAATGTGTGTGTTTGCCTACACTGCTCTGGAATGTCACATTTACACATATAAGTTGCAAAAAGCACACAGATCGAGACCAACAGTACATTCCTTGCACCTCTAAGGCAATGATAAATTTAGCAGGCCCACCTAGAATTAAGAAAAGTAAGAGGATGTAGTGGTGTTGTTTTTGAGAACATTTTCTTCATGGCTTCTCTTCCTCCAAAATGAGTTACTTTGTGTCCTTTGTTGGAGAGAATTGTCAATCACGAACTCCCCATCCTCTCTTATTTTCTTGCTTTTCTCTTTTAGGCTGGGGACAAAAATAATGATGTTGAAGAACAAGGAGCTCAAGACGGTGCCCACCCCAAAGGAAGGGAGGAGCCGTATGAGGAGGAGGAGGACGAGGAAGAAGACGGGGCAGCCGCTGCCGAGAAATCACATCGCAGAGCCGAAATGTAGCTGGACGCAATTTCTGCACCGTGCTCAGCCAACCATTTTTTTTTCAAGCTGCTCTAAAACAAATCCCGCCTACTGAACTCTAGAATATTTAATTACATACAAAAGTAAGGGTTTAGAGTTTTTTTAACTTTTATATTAGAAATGCTATACATTTATATGAATATATTTTGATAACTTAGCTTAGAACTTCTTTTATAGTCAAGTTCAACACGGACGGGAAGACAAACAGTATGGCACGCCTTCGCGTCTGAGTCTCGCTCCTCAGAGAAGCTGTGATGTTGTAAAGTGCTTGGCTGTTGTTGTGCATGGTACAGCTCATTACCTTTTTGTCTCCTGGCTTCCAGGGAGTCTACCGTTTATATCGGATGAAAGGCAGGATTGGATCTAGAGACAAGGCGTACTGAAAAGCCCTGTACGCAAATGTGGAGGGATGACTGGTAGCCTAGCAGCTGCCTCGGCAGGTTCTTCTGTACAGCGCTGATAGGATGTCTCTGCTACAGGCTGTCTAGAAATGAGATCCATCTGCACAGCCGACGTACAACTGGAAAACCTTTATTTGTGGCAGAGCAAAGACATGCTTTTTACGAAGTTTAGGTCAGAAGAATATTTAGCAATGCTTAAAATCACAGCGGTCGTGCTTGAGACTCAAGTGTGAAGGTTGAATAATATTAGGACTCCTATGAAGGTATCTTGGACTTAGTCTCTTGTTACAGAGGCCAAACAGGGCCTGACACACTTAGAAACTGATGTGGTGTGTGTGATGGTGCTTCCTGGGTGATCGCCCATGCTCCATCATTTCTTGTCTTAAGTCTCATTGTTATATGCCCATCGGTATCCAGTTTCTACCACTTAATGTTTCTCCCTTAAGCTCTGTGCCTTGGTATGTAACCATTTGGATCACGGTTGTTCACATGAAAGCAGGCAATGTTACGGTTTAATAAGATTATTTTTCAAACTATGTCGTGAAATATCTATAGCACTATGATAGAAACTCCACCCTCAGTGGCTTTACTATTTACCCAGAATTGACCTGCCTTTGCCTATATATAAGGCATTTAATGGCTTTTGAATAATAATACATCCCTTAGGGGAAAATGCAAAGTGGAAATTTTTCCTTGAAATGAGCACATGTTTTAGTTTGAATCATCAATATTGTTGAACATGTAGAACTGGTCCACAATTCATCTGTGTGTGGTTTTTAAATACTACTTTCAAAATAATAAAATGAATTTCATTTTCTGCTATTATTGTATGAACCTAATTTTAGTTTTTAATAACCACACTCATTTTTTATTTTCCCAGCTGAGCAATTGTGTGTGTGTGTGTGTGTGTGTGTGTATGTGTGGCGGTGTGTGTGCATAGAAATGTTCTGTTCAAGTGTATTGTGGATTACCAGTAACCATAAATCAAATTTTATCTTTATGTATAAAAGCCCCTTATGTAATGTAAAATGTATAATATTGTACATAATACTCAAAATACAATTATTTTGGTAAATTAGTTTGTATTTTAATGTCCCGGTTGCAGTATTTAATTATTTGAAACTTGGGTAATAATCAATAAAGCTATAAAGAGTGAAGGGGTAAGTCTTGAAGCATATAATTTCTTAGTGGTTTGTGATCTATGGTTTTTCTTTATAAGAAGAATACAAATTAATGAATTATTAAATGCCTTTCCCAAACTGCTTCATTTTCTTTCTTTTTCTACTTTGATTGGCACTTGACTTCTCATCCCCATTCTCTCACCTAAAGAGGACACTAAGGACACTGGGGACTTTTATTGTGATTAAGCTAGCTTTGGGTGCTAGAAATAAGAAACTGGTCTAGAAAAATATGAGAAAGCGTGAGTGCCATGTTCACAGCCCATGTGTAAATCTCCCCATTAAACCACCAATCACAATCTGCTCTGGAGTATTTCTAACTCCATGCTAGAAGAACATTCTAGTGGGAACTAAATTAGACCTGATCCCCATTAATGACCGTACAGATGTAAATTATCACTTAAGTTCGTCTTGCCCATTAGTCAAGATTGACCAAGGGGCAGAGGAGGGCTGGGGAGATGATTCAGTTGTTTCAGTAGCTGCTGTCAAAGCATGACTTGCATTATATCTCCCTAGTACCTAGACAAAGAAGCCAGAATCACCTGTCATCATAGCATTGGGAACAATTAAATGAGGGGATGTCTGGGGCTTACAGGGCAGCCAGAGTAGCTGAATCAGTGAGTTTCAAGTTCAGAAAAATCCTGCCTCAAGAGCGAGAGAGAGAGCGAGCGAGCGAGAGAGAGAGAGAGAGAGAGAGAGAGAGAGAGAGAGAGAGAGAGAGGACAAAGCAAAGGAGAATGATAAATGAAGATGCCAAATGTGGATTGCTGAATTCCACATCCACAGAAGTCAAAGTAGTTCATGCCTGTGAATTTACGAGAAGGAAAAGCGAGCACTCACTTAGACATGTGTGCAAGAGCACCGAATTAATGACGGGTTATTTGCAAGAATAATGAGGGAAGATCGAGCAACGAAGAGTATAACCTTAGCCACGGGCACCAGGGACTCCCTCTTACCAAGGGGAAGGACTGGCATGTATTGAATGCCTTCACTGCGTGCGAAGTAGGTGACCTGGACTCTCTTATGCACTGACTCTGAGGGCATTTCCTTTAAGGTTGGCAGGATGGCCTTTGGAACATTTGACATTATTTACCTTCTCTGAGTTTATCCTTTTGTGTGTTTGGCTATGTGGACACTTGGTGATCCGTTCATAATAAGGCGGCTTGCACAGGAGTTGCGTATGTCGCTTCCATCAGACGTTTCCTGCAGCTGCTCAGTCTCTTCCTTGTCTCCTTCATGTGGCCTCCGGGCTGCTTCTTCCACCTCCTTAAATGCCGGTGCCTTTCATGTTTATTGCCAGAGACCGTGTCTCTGTCGGACCCTCCTCACAGGTCTTATTCTTTTTCTCAGCCTAATTTTCTACACCCTATTCTACCTCCAAAGTCATAACTTTTAAAACTCATTTTCTTATACCTTATCAAACCTACTTCTCTTTCTAAGCTGTGTCTCCTTTCACTAAGTTTCACCAAACAGAAGCATGAAATTGTCTTCCCACCCCACAGGCTATCCCCACAGACCTTCCATCTGTCTGCTGTCCTGGTCCAGGCCCCACTTATCTGTATTTACCTGGGGCATTTCCTTGCTTCATTCTTTTCTTCCTTCTCTTCCTTCTTCATAATCCCTAAGGCCTGAGCCAGTAGGACTTTAGAGATAACCTTACTACTGCAGTATCGTGCAGTCATTTAAGAAATTCCCATTGCATGCGAGAAAACACCGCTAACCTGTTAGCATGGACTGTGCAATTCTTCATGGTCTAGCCCCACTTTAATTCTTCAGCCTAGTAAATTACTATTTAATAGGAACTACAATAACTGGTCTCTGGATGGAAAATTGACTAACAGAGCTGATGCTACTGCCTCACACATTTTCAAAAACCATATGATCCAGGTAGGACAGATAATTGGCTCAACACATAAGCAGTTTGATTTCCTCTCTGGGATGTTATTTTTGGCAGGCGATTTCAATATGGTATCTGCGAGCACCGTTGAACAGTGTTTATCATGCACTGTCATTTCAAGGATGTTAGCAGAAGCAGCAGCCTTCAAAGCTAAAGATATATAACCCTGGGCCATAGGGTGGCTTCCTTTTCAGGCCAAGATTTGGACAAGTTTGCTAGAGGAACCTTTCTAAAATGAGAGTTTCCGAAGACAGGGAATCACACATCATGTCCGGAGCCTACAAGGATGCAACATGTACTCACCCCACGACACTCGGAAGGGAGGGGACCAGGGGAAGGGTGAAAAGGTGAAGCCAGCGCTGCCTCTGATCCAACTGTGCAGCATTCTCTCCTTTTCTGGGTGACTTCTTGGAGCCTAGCTACCCCTTCCTTCAGGAGCTGACTTTTAAACTGGAATCTACTTAATGAACGTTTGTGACTCACAGAGGCCTGCGACGAGGAGTCACTGCCACACAGTGAGAGCTACTAGACACAGTACGAAGAAGTTTCAGCATGGCTGTGTTCTCCTACAAACTGGAAACAAAGCGGGGTGCCTCTACAGCTCCAGAATGCTGATCCACGCGGCTCAAATACTTAATGGTGAAAACAGTGTTCCGACAGACACTACGACTTTGAGGTCCCCAAGCATTATGGGTTTCTGTTCTTCGTTGTTATCCCTCCTTTCATTTTTCAGTTGGCAGGCACTCAGCAGTATCTGGGCTGCTGCATCGGTACACCATTGCACATAATTGGAAATGAAATATTTTTGTCCTTTACCATCTTGGCTGACCTTGTTCTCCCTGTTCCCTGTATGCTACTAATGGAGCTTGAAATTAAATGTCATTTCTGTTTATCTGTTAACACGTTTCTGTTTTTATATTAACACATATACAGCATTGCCCTGAAAGTACATGTCTTCTAAAGAACTAGTTCATTGAACAACATGGGCTTGAGCAAGATGAGATGTTGGCTTTTGAGATGGTGTGTCCTGTCCTCCTGAAGATGTGTGTACCAATTATATTGGGTGGCACATTTATTCACTACAGCTTTAAGAGTTTTTGGACTTTGGGGGGGTATTAGACTTTCATCCAATTCATATCCAGTACTAGAATGAATCATCACATTTATTTATTTGTTTATTTATTTATTTATTTTTAATTTTGACACACAGTCTCGCTAAGTTGCTCAGACTATACTTGAAGTTTCAAATCTCCTAGCTGGAATTAATGGTCTGCAAACCGTGAGTCTGGCTTAGATGTATGTGCGTGAGAGCATGCACATGTTTGTGTGTAGATCCATGTCAGTAGGGGGTTACATAAGCACATGTATACACATGCTGTGGAGTTAAGAGAGTAACCTCAGGCATCGTTGCTCGTGAGCAAAAGGGTCTTTGTTTTCATTTGCCTGGAACTTGTCAAGTAGTCTACGTTGGCTGGATATTGAGTCCCATAGACTTGCCTGTGTTTGTCTCCTTAACACTAAGATTACTGGTGAGTACCACTATTCCTGGCATTTTTAGATATGAGGTTTAATCATGAAACTCAGGTGCTCATGCATGTAACCAACTGAGCTATCCCTCTAGACTTGCCCTAAACATTTCAATAAATGCAGTCAAAATATTTTTATAACCCTCAACCCTAGCCAGTTACTTTTTGGGATGGTTTCAAAATTTGTTGAGGAATTCTTCTGGAGACCAGATTGCCTTCTCTTGAGTGTGTAAAAGATTTATTTATTGACCTAAGAAAAATAAAATTTAAGAGCAGTAACCATGTGGGACTCAGAGGTTAGATCATAAAAGATAATGTATCATTGCTCTGGCCTTGGATCAGTCACTATGAAAGTGCCAGCCACCACATCCTGAGGGCTATTCAGACAGAAGCCCGGCATCCACACAGAGTGAAACTGATGTTTCCTGACAATAACAACACAAGAGAACTTGGATCGAATGAACCCTCAAAACCCTGTCAAGCCTTCAGATAAATTGAATGTTGTGGGAGTTGGGCAGAACAAGCCAGAAAAGTCATTCCAGACTCCCCTTGATTTTGAAGAGTTGGGTACACAGCAGTGGTTAAGCATCCATCTTCTGAGCACTTTGTAAGTCAGAAGGGAGAGGGCCAGTGCTGACTGAGATGTTCAGCTGCATGACCAGTGTCCCTGGCAATCTAGCCAGCTGCCCCAGTGTGTTAGTGTGGAAGGTGAGTTCAATCCAATGACCCAAACAAGTGTAAGCCAATATACTTGTTGAAAATTACTAGATGATTTAATAGATGTTGATAGTCTCTCGAGCTTGCCTATACATGGTAATTTTTTGTTTGTTTTATTTTTGATTTTCTGTGTTTTTGTTTTTGCCCAAGAGATTCCAAGCCTTTTCTCAATATAGTGAGATCAAGATCCCTGAGAGAAAAGCCTAGACTCCAGTATTTATTTTTAAAAAATCATCCCCAAAAATTGTCGTTGCAAGGACACTATGATTCTGGATGCAAGGCAGCTTCATGAAAGCCTATATTCTGACTATAGATGTTGTTATACAAATCTATACGTGTATTAAAATTCATAGAATTGCCCACAACAAATAAAAGGAAGTTTTTACTGAATGGTAACTGAAAATGAAAATATAGCTTATACATAGTTTTTGGAAACTCCCAAAGGACTAACCTCCAGCGAGGGTGATGTGCCTGGATCTGTGCTTTTATGGGATGATCAACCATCTCTGATGTAAGCGTTCATAACCAGGGCACCACCTGTGTTAACGTCTACAGATCCAAACACACACCAAAATCCTCTGGGTGGATTCATCAAATTGTCTTTGCTGCAGTATTTTACAGTAAATGACAAAAGCTGCAAACTTGAGCTGTAGCCGTCTCTTACATTCACATTAGGGAATTTCAGAATACTGCATGGGCAAATTGTTTGAGCCAAAAGTCCTGTTAGTCTCTGCTCTTAGAGGAAAAACACAAGATGGAAAACCTCATCATGTAATTGCTTTGCCTCCAAACATTGCTTTGCAAGTCTGTAAACTGTGGCTTTTGAAGAACAGCAAAGAATTCCCAAAGAAGAATATGTAAGATATATAATTTTGTTTCTGACTGTAAAATATGTAAATATGTCATATGTTTGAGATGCAAATTTCACAAACAATACTCTG